ACAATATAATACTATTGTATATTATATATATATATATATATATATATATATATATATATATATATATTCAAACATTTTTTGGAATGTTACAAATACATTACAATATAATACTATTGTATATTATATATATATATATATATATATATATATATATTCAAACATTTTTTGGAATGTTACAAATACATTATATTATATATATGATATACAATAGTATTATATTGTAATGTATTTGTAATTTCAAATACAAAATGTTTGAACGTTTTAAAATAATTATCCGACATTCGTGCAATTATAATGTATATATTATTATTATTATTATTATTATTATTATACATAATAATGTATTATAATACATTACATATTGAAGAGACAGAAAAATATTCCTGATATTTTGCTTTTCAGGTAATTAAATTTTAAAAAATCGTGATTGGACACGCGGGGCTAATTACGCCAATATGGCGACGTTGGTCTTCGAAGATTCGTATCAGTATTCTAAGTTAAAATCTTAATAATCATAATAATCATAAATAATTTCTTTGTTGAATAATTTATTAACCATTGTGGTAATTAGACTGCAGATTTTATGCGTTAACGTGAAATGAAAAGTGATCAAGGAAAATATCACTCTGTAATGACATTCGAATAATTCAAGAATGCTTCTACATTCTTCTCAACTTATTATCATTATCAATAAAAGAAATAGGTTTCTATTTATCTTATATTCAGTAGAATTTCTTTAGAAAGCTTTTATTTCTCGAATGAAGGTATTCGATTCAGCGAACATTGCTTTCAAATAACAACATGAAACTCGTGCAGCTCTCCCCGCGCAGAACAAAGAGCCGCGTTTATGAAAACGATGTTAAGTATCGGAAGCTCTTTTATTCCAGCGGAATATAATTTAATAACAAACCCATGTTCTTTCCAGATAGGCGTCAACGTAACTGGATTAAACTAGTTTCCAAATAGAGTTGCATAACCGGATGAGCAGATAAACATTAAACTAGACGCGAGTTAAAAACTTAAAGTTACCGAACGTACAACTGAAAAAAATAATTCGAAGAATTCGAAGGATCGATTGGAACGTCGAAAGATAAATACATAATTAAAGAGATGGATTAACGATCTGAAGGATGAATATATGTATAATATATTGAATGTACGCGTAGTACGGGTACGTCAGCCGAAACATTTCAGGAGAACAAAATGAACGTCAGCTGTCGGCCGCAGGGAATCGCATAATAAATTTGACGGTTGGCTCCCCGTCCCTAACAATTGACAATAGGGCCGCGGGGTCTCGCGAAAATCGCTGACGTCGCCATAGTAAACGCGTCTCCCCCCGACACTTTTCCGGCCGATCGGGAATTTTCCCTCGCCGCGTCGCGTCGCGTCCTCGCGTCGCGACGTCTCCGACTTCCGGTCTCTGTAAAGCGCGCCATTGCTCTGCCGGCGGCCTCGCGATTACTACCTACGGATAGATCCGTGAAAACCGCCTCGAGCGATCCATCATTTGTTGCCGGAAACACCGGAAGCTTAGCCAAAAACAATAACAAATTCGTATGGTTGTTTCGGCCGTTTTATTTCTCGCGGGCTTGCGCTTCGAACGAATCGAAGCTCGATGAAAAGGAAAACCGTTTGAAAAACTAATCAGAATTCTTCGGAACATGCGATACAATTGTTATTTTAGTCCAGGAATCGCAACGGGATTTTACTGATGCTCGTGACAGGCGCGATCGGGCGAACGTCATTTCTCGTATCTCTCGCCATTGTTCCCGACATTTGGCTGCCATTTTTATCTGTTTCATCTGTGAACGCTTCGCTAATGCGATTTTCTTTGACCGAATCACATGCAGAAGGGAGCTTAAAAAACCGTTCTCCCGGTTCGTTAAAAATGCGATAACAAGCGTAACAACGCAAACATCGAACGTTTTTACTCGTGCGACCGCGTGACACGCGCGATCGTATTTTCAAATGATTAATAATTAGCCTAACATCGTTCGGCTGTCGATGGATAACTGTAGAAAAATTCCGTACGGATGTTCTTCTCAATTTTGCATATCGTTATTTCGGACAAACAGGCTTTTTTAACCGAATGAGAGAAACTGAAAGGATTTTTGTAGTAATGGATTCGATACTAATATCATACTCTTGTTCAAACAGAAAGACTTTTTACCTGATAAAATCATTGCTGAAAGCTGATAGATTTTCTATGCACTAAAGAACTCGGGAATCGAGTATCATCATATTTTTATGCGGACAGGAAGACTTTTTATCTGACAAACTGAATGCTAAACATTGGAAAGATTCTTGCACCGAAAACGAAATATTTTTATTCGAGCAATCGGATAGATCTGCCCCCCCCCTCTCTCTCTCTCATCTTTGTCTCTCTCTATCATTCTCTCTCTCTCTCTATCTTTCTCTCTGTCTCTCTTTATCTTTCTTTCACTCTCTCTCTATATTTCTTTCTCTCTCTCTCTCTCTCTCTTTCGCTCTCTCTCTCTCTATCTTTCTCTCACTCTCTCTCTATATTTCTTTCTCTCTCTCTCTCTCTCTCTCTATCTTTCGCTCTCTCTCTCTCTATCTTTCTCTCACTCTCTCTCTATCTTTCTCTCTCTATCTTTCTCTCTCTATCTTGCTCTCTCTCTCTATCTTTCTCTCTCTATCTTTCTCTCTCTATCTTGCTCTCTCTCTCTCTCTCTCTCTCTCTATCTCTATCTCTATCTATCTATCTATCTATCTATCTATCTATCTATATCTATCTATCTTTCTCTCTCTATTTTGCTCTCTCTCTCTCTCTCTCTCTCTCTCTCTCTTTGCCCTAAATACATCGTTAAATATCGCCACTTCGTGCTGCAGTCTCCCGAGTCGCCATCGGATCCTCAGGGAACAATTCAACGCATAAATTCGACGTACCCGAACGACTCGAGATCGCCGTTCTACGATCCATTCGGCCTGGACATGAAACCGCTCGCCAGACTTTATTTGAACCGGCAGAGACTCTACGAGAAGACCTGCGACGTCACGCCCGACGAATCTGCTGATACAGGTGTTACTACCCCCCAACCTGGCCGTAATCGCACAAATAGCAAGTATTGTTTCGTTTTGTACTGTTTTATGTTCGCATCTGTCGGCACGGGAACGAGAAGCGGGAAGAGAGAGCATTTCGCATTGTTTAATAACTCTCTTCGGCTGAAATTGTATCAGACCGGTCGAAAGTTTTGACCGGTAAATGGCTAAAGCAGAAAGGAAAGTCTCGGTAATCTGGATCTCACATCTGCTAATTATCCTGTCGATCGAAGTAGAACGGTGAAACACGGCGGAAACTATCTTTTGTTGGTGAAAAGAGCTGACGAAAACCATTCTCGTTGTTCAATATTTAAGATTGACACTTCAATCGTTTTCTTTGACACTAGATTTACGGAGCATAAAAGACAGCTGTTTTATATTTATTTTTTCACTTATTTGTTTATTTATTTTATTTACTCTGATTTCGAACAAGCGCCATTGCAACATTTGCCGTAACATATAAATTGAATAAATAACCCATGAATGTAATAAAATGTAATTAATTAATAATAAAAATTATTCAATCGTAATTTACGATACGAATAATCGTAAATTAAAAAACTAACGACCCGTCGTTTTAACGGGCTCCGTAAATCTAGTGTTAATATCGTCCCTTATCGATTTGACAAAGCGTAAAGATGCAAACGTTTAGAATGCTCGCGAAAACACTACGATCCTGTAATTTTGTTAGAATTCTCTTAAGCGTCGAGCCGCGATGCTAATTTCACCAGAAATTCGATTTCGTTTTCGCGTCGAGTATCTTACAAATGAAGTTTCCTGTAAGCGCGAAAAAAAAGATGATGGCTAAGCAGACCTTCGTGGAAAATCTCTTCCCTCTTGCGGTCTCTGTGTCGCAGACCGTTTGCTTAATCCCTGCGAGAGATGTTCAAGCAGCCACGAAGGAGATTGAGGTAAACGTTAACATCGATGTAGACCCGTTTTCTTATTTGCCTGCTACTTCGTAGAAATTAGAAGGCGATGGGCCGTGAGCGATTCTTTTCTTGTGGCAAATACCTTGACGATCGACTCTAATTTTCTGTGAAATCTTTAGCACGAAAGACGCGAAGCGGCCAACAAATTATCTATGAAATTTATCTTGTCGATCGGTGCTTGCATTAACGATCACGACTCAACGTGTTTTCCTATTTTATTTCGCGCGCGCATTGTAGGGATGATTTGTATTTATTATTTACCCTTTATGCTGAAATTATTGTTTTCAGTTTGAAAATATCCCTAATGATTTTTGCGCACGGTGCCATAATGCATTTTTTTGCACAGATCACAATAATTACAACTGGCAACGATTTCTCGAAATTAGATTTCTCGGATGTTTTATAACTGTCTAGCTGCGAAACGCACGAATTGAACCGACAATAAGAATTTATTTATGAAAAATAGACCGAGGCATAATGTGTGATCGAGGGGCTAAAAGAATACTTCGAGACTACAGAAATTATCCAACGAAAAATTTGTCGCGACCATCTCATGCCAGAAAAAAGACTATTCATAGATCATAATCACAGATGATAATTCTGAGAAGTTCGCTAATCTGATACAGATGACGCCACGATGATGTTCCCATTTAAATTTAGAGCGCAGACTTAGGACTCGGACTTAGGGTTCGTACGGACATTGCATTTTACGGAATTTTCTGTCTCAACTTTGGGGGACTCTTGACCGATGATAGCTAGAACTGCTATTTTCAATCACGTTCGTTCCCAATCACGATGATTTTTCATAGCGACTCATGATTTTTCATAAATAATAACTGTTAGCTGCATATCCTTATATTTTATGCGAATCGACTAATTAATGAGAACGTAAACATCATTCCATAAACAATTGCAATATCATTCTATAAACGACAAATTTTATAAATACAGAAGATGCAATAAAGAAACGTATACAATCATAAATTTGAATAATGCTACATATATTGTATACGATATTTTTTAATTATCATTGTTTAATAATCGTTGTTTCAGAATTCCTTCTTTCTACTGATTTAAATAGCATGTGTGGATACAATACATTCGTACATTACATAAAAGAAATTGTTTGCACTTTGATACATTATTTAAACGAATATCTATTTATTGTTGTGAAATCCAGACGAAGAATTAATTTCACTTCTTAAAAGGAATGAAATTGTTCAGAAATGGGACTGGATTCAAGTGTTCTATAAACAAATATTTCATCGATCAAGATTCAAGATCAAATGAAGCATATGACATAAACGTAATTACATGTAGTAAATTGAGTCAAAATAAAAAGTCACGATCACGATCGTAAGCGAAATTGAATCACGACCGCGATCGTGTTTCTGTGATCACAGTGATATATCACGGTTAGTGACTGATCGCGCCATCTGTGTTCTAAAATCGCCTTACCATTTCCGTGTCGCGCTCAGCGTTACCGATAGCTCACAAATTCAGACACGTTAGCAAGAAACAAATATATATTTCATTTCTACTATGAACGTTGTGTGTGAATGTTATTTGAAGGAAATAAGTATACATATACAGCGCGAACATTTAAATGATGGAAATAGTATTAATAGAAATAGCACTACAGAAATACGATATAAAATGTAATTATTTTTATGGACAGTTGAGCTATTATTTCTTATAATTATATAATTGCTG